ATAGTTCAAAGGCCTCAATTCTTTGGCGCTCAGCCTTTCTTATGGTGCAACTTTCACAGCCATACTACAGCTATAGAGACAACCTTATTCTGCAATAGGTATTCCCAAGGTCTTTTCACCTCCTCTCTGAATAGCAACATCAGACAGATCTGCTTTTCCTAAAAAAAAACCTTAAAACCCCCCACCCAATTGTAGATTTGGGTGAAAATCAGAGAACTGGTGGATAGAGTCTCCTGTTTATCTTCCCAACAGAAAAAATGTGAACATTACTGGGTTGATGTGGATGAATCCCCATTGCAGCTAGGCCCTTTCTTCATTATCTGTGTAAGTATGTTGTTTTCCATTGGAATTCACATGCTGAACTCTCCTTTGTGGAAATAAATGTCATTTAAATATGTATTTGGTTTGCTTCCCTTCAGGAGGCGGAAGAAAAAAGGCAGGACTATGTGATTCGCAAGTTGAAAGTGAAAGTGAATGACAATGTAAGTGTGGGATGCTTCAGGAAATGTGTTGACGTTCTGGGAGACTATCCTGGGAAAGTATAATGCCCCATTTTCTCTGATATATTTTTGTGAATATTTTCTGATTCCTGTGCAGCATGTCCTTTACAGGGTACCCTTTAGGGATAAGAAAAACCAATAACAGAAACTATGCATATATTTGCAGAAAGGTGATGGATTTCTTTTTCCTGGTGCATAAGAAGGGTTTAAGCAATCCTGTATAGGTGCACATTAATATTCTTTTACTCTATAAGTTCAGTTTGCATTCTGCCTCAAGGGTTAGGATAAATTAATTGGGAAGTACCCCTGTTAAACTAATTCCTACAAGTTCCTTATTTTGGGTATCTTTTCTAGGAATTCAGAAGTGTCTACCATTTTCATTATAAAAATTGGCCAGACCATGATATTCCATCTTCAATCAACTCTATTTTTCAGTTCATAAATGAGATGCATTCCTACCAAGCAAACCATGATGTACCTATCTGTGTACACTGCAGGTAAAACTGCTTGAAAGTAGAAACCGTTTTAACTTCAAGAGAGCAGAATTGTCCTATAATTCTTTTTGAATATGAATATACATACATATACATGGTAAAAGAAGGAAGAAATGATCTATTAATTATTAGAGACAATTCAGGTTTGTGTGGGTTTTGTTTTTAACTTTTTGGAATGCTGATGTGTGTTTTAAATTAAGCCCTGAACTTTCCCTGCAAATTGATTAAAAGTATTCAATCATGGGAGTCAGAGGTGGGTTTCTGCTAGTTTGCCCCAGATCAGGCGAACTGGTAGTGGCGGCGGTGGGAGGTTCCGCCCACCTACCCGGATACTTCTGTGCATGCATAGAAGTGTTGCACGTGTGCACGAGCAAACCAGTAGTAAAATAAATTGATACCCACCACTGATCGGAGTAATAGGGATCCAAAATCTTATGTCCAAGAGAGGAGTTATTATGTGTTATAATTATATAACGCCATAGGAGTTTATTATGTGCAACTGCATGTTTGCAGTGTGATTTCCATGCTTTTTTTACTCTGAAGCATCAAATGCTATTTTTGCTGGAGCTTATCACTAAGGGTCCAAAAAATAATAATTAACTTGAATAACAAATTCAAATGCAAAGTAATACCTTTATTTGCCCAAGCTGAAATGTCATCTTTCCTATTGCCATGGATTTTTGGCAGATTTATGTGATGCTTTTGCCTTTATAATGCCCAAATTGAATTACATAAAAATAAACAAAGTAAAATCCAGTCATTGTAAAGTTGTGGCTAGAAACCTTACCTTACATAGAAAGGTTTTGTTGATGGCGGCAATAAAATATAAGATCTAAATTTCAGTAGAGATATTTGGCTATTTTCAATCAAATAGTAGATCTGAAGAAAAACTAAAGGATTTCAGAGAAGGCTAAATATTAGTTGAACAACCTACAGTGAGAATAAATTATTATCATCGTTCATTTAGCAATTTGTCATGTCTTTCAGTGCGGGCTGCGGACGAACAGGAGTGATATGTGCCATTGATTATACTTGGACTTTGCTAAGAGACAATGTGAGTGCTTCCATATTGTCTATTCATGGTAGAAACTACCTAAAGTTATAATTTAATTTTCATGCTACTTGCTATGTGGCTGCTATTCCAGAAGAAATTGATCCCCCCCCCCCCCAGCAAATTGACATATAGTTGTTGTCAGATCTGGAAGCCCTCTTTTACCTTTGAGACTTCAGACCTGCCACATTTTCTACTGTGGAAAAATGGGAGGCGAGGTTATATAGAGTGTGGGTGATATATCGTCAAAATAGCATTCTTTCTCAGAAAGACAAGACCAACGTTCTGCAGCTGTGATCAGGTGACTCGGAGGCATCTCCAGTTTTGGATGGTGCCTGATTGGACCCTGTGATGGACTTGTGGGTGCTGGTCAGGGACTTGAACTTTCTTTTTGGGTGGGGAAAAACTGGAAACTTTCAGATTCGGGTTTTCCCAGTGGTGCGAATAAAATGGAGCTTTGAGGAAACTCAAGCCTCGGAGTTTTCTTCCATTGGGGGTGATACTTTGAACTCTGACATTTGTAAGAGGAATGATGACTTATCAGTGAGTCTTTCCATAATGTTCAGTGCAAGTTCTTTAATGCAGGGGTCTCCAACCTTGGCCATTTTAAGACTTGCAGACTTCCACTCTCAGAATTCCCCAGCCAGCCATGCTGGCTGGGGAATTCTGAGAGTGGAAGTCTGCAAGTCTTAAAGTGGCCAAGGTTGGAAACCCCTGCTTTAATGAGTATTCAATAGACAGATTGCCTAGCTGGGCCTTTCAAATGAACAATGCCTTCTCTGTTTCTCTCTCTCTCTCTCTGNCTTGGCCTTATTTTCAGGGAGGTCTTATTATTTTTGAGGTGCAGGAGCAACGAGCATGGTCACCTCATGGCTGCTGCTGTGTTGCAATATTTTTGGGGAGGGCTTATTTGAGCACATGCACTCAAAAGCCCTATTGGGCTTATTATCTGGGGAGGTCTTATTTTCAGGGAAACAGGGTATATTTGGAATCAATTGGAAGAATCCCATGGCTGAGCTACTGGATCTGCAAAATCCAGGTTGCCCTACAGATGGCAGTAACAGATCTAGTTTTCTTTGTCTTTGGTATCATCTAGTGCTGGGACTCAGATATATTATAACTTTTAACTTACAATAAAGATAATAAACAAGCAGAAATGGTTTATGCTTTTCCTTCCCATATTTCAAATGTGACATAAAGAAAATAACACACACACACACACACACACACACATTCTTTTTTCTATTTGTTAAGCATCAGAATTGTTGATGAGTTGGGCAGCTCTGAGATTTGATTAAAGAAATAAATGAAAAAAGAAAAGCTTGGGAAAGTTTATCTGTTTGTTACATGAAATGAGTACATCTCTTTTCTACATGTTGTTTTTATAGGAAATGTAGTTCAACTGCATTTCAGTTATTATTTCATTATAAATTGTAAAGCTGCTCCTAAATTTTATTTTCTTATTGGAAAGTATCCCATTAAAATTAACTGTAAGGATTCAGGCAGTGAAAATAATTTCTGAATTCTTTGGGAAAGTATATCTCCTACTAAACATAGTGGCTACTAGACCGGAACTAATCCAGTTATGGCAACTTGGCACTTTCCATGTATTGGGTGCTAATTTCCAGAATTCTCAGCCACTATGGCCGTTACTATAGATTTAAATGTACATGCATAAAAATGCTTTGTTGAATGGCATTTAGTCACAATTGTGTAGGGGAAAGATTTTCATATTTTCCAGTGTACCTGAACTAAATGTTATTCCACCACATCACACCTATGCAACTAATGCGTATTTGTCTAGGAAGCCACATCAAAAATGCATTTGCCTGATCTATGTAGGATACTTGATCAGCACATAAAATTTCCATTCTGACAAAGAGCCCCCCAGCAAAACCACAAGGGCTGTTTAGTTCTTATTGTGGTTATCTCAAGAGAGGCCAGTCAAGGAAGTAATGAGAAATGCAGGTCTGTAATATTGTTGTCAGGTTTTCTATAATTACTCTTTATGATTTAACCACAGAAACTGAAGCGGCAATCAGCGACCTATAGAGCAGAGAAAATTTACCCAACAACTGTGTCTGAGAGACCTGAAAATAGCAGCAAAAATCGGTATAAAGACATCTTAGCATGTAAGCTACAAATTAACACAATTTTTATGGTGCCTTTATTGTTCCAGTTTATATATAAATAAGTCTGTGTGCATTTGGAGCATGAAATCATGCAAGGATGATGGTAGCCACAAAATGCCAGGTGATTGATATGGCATTGCAATACAAATGTTACCCCTTTTGTACTTGTGTGTAGTATATCTGCCATCATGCCAGTTTAAAGTCTCTCCTTTGGATACTATTACTTTTTGGTAACCTATAATATAATATGAATAGATTGGATCCTAAATTAAAGCAATCCATAGACAGAGTATTTCCTGGAAATTTCTCCCCTACTTTCCTTGCTAAAATTATCTAGATAATACTTCATCATGATGCAGTAGTTGTGATATAGGACTAGGAGTTGGGATACTGAGTTTTTACTGCATCCTTAGCCATAGAAATTTATTGACAGATTAATTTAGGCCAACAACACTCTCATTTAGTTCAAATTTCTCACAGAGCTGTGAGGCAAAATTCAGAGGGGGTATTTTCTGTGGTAAACCAAAATAGAAGGTGTTGTTTCCATGAGCTGAACATATTCCTGGTTCCAAGTCAATCTATGTGTACTCTCTTAACTTGGATACATACATATCATTTGCAAGATAAGCATAGATACAGACCACATTCATACCATGATATGCATGCCACTGCTAAATGATTTTTGATATTTCCCAGGACATCTTTCACACAGAACTCTGAGACACTGTCCTCATGAGTCATAAATCTTGAATCCCCCTTTAAAATTTGTAATCAAAAACTCCTCCTATATTCCACATAGCCTGCTCTGAACGTTAAGGAGACAGATAATACATACTGCTATTGTACTGACCCATGGTCTCCACTTCTGTTTTTGCATTAGCCATCCCAACTTGTATGATTGACACTTAAAATTAAACTGATACTTTTAGCTGTGTAACTTTTCAGTATTTAGGAATTATTTTTATGCACATATTTTGTGCATTGTGGCAACCAAAACTACATTCAGTTTTGGTCNGGTGCAAACTGGCTGAATCCCACCACTGGACCTCCCCGAAAATAAGGCCAAGCGCTTATTTTGGGTGTTAAAAGAAAATAAAACCCTGTCTTATTTTTGGGGAACATGGTAGTAATGTTTCAGTTAACTGTGTGTTGTAACATACTTTACACCGCTTTTCTATTAAAAGCACTCAAAGAAGTGAAGAAGCTTATTTGTCCTGTAAAGATGTTGCTGTGCTGTAAGAAAATCATGTGCATGACAGTAATGATTTTTTTAAAATACTAGGGGCCTCTTGGGGCTACATCAAAGAAGCAGGTGTTGATGCTTTCAGAAAAAGGGAGAGAAAAGTACAAGTTATTTAAATGCTCTTTGATAATGTGCCATGAAGACATTTGCCAAATTGGTTGCTTGAAAAGCATACACTCCTTCAAATGCAAATCATTTCTCAGAATGATATGGTGCCATTGCTTGAACTTATGTCCTCATCCTCATTCTCTGTTCACCAGCCCGGAAATGAAGCAGAGGAGGAACTGCAATTTCCTCTTCTGTCTTGCCAAATCCAAGCCCAACACCCATTCGTAGGTGCTTGTTAAAGGGATTACCCCAACTTCCATTTGGGAAGTACAATCAGTTCCCCTAAGATCAGATGCTAGAACTCATAGATTTATCTGAACTTACTTATGTTAGACAGCCAGACTTGTGGTATAGAGAAATGAATATGCAGTTGCGACATGTTTCCAAGTGACTCATGGCTGCTATTTTTCAGGGCCAGTATAAGTTGGTTTATGATGCAGTGATCGAACTCTTTAAAAGGCAGATTGAAGCATTCTCCAGTCATTCTGATCTTGTCGTTATAGAGGTAAGCCTTCCTACTAACTCTAATTGCAAATAAAGTTAATGTGACTGTTTTTCCAGAACAATACTGCAAAGTCCTTTTCTATATTTCAAGCTCAATATCACATGCAATCAGGTCTGTATTCTTCCTACTCCTCTTTGAAGCTACTTTTGGTCTAAGGTGTCATAACTCTATTCTGAGAACATTGCCATCCCAAAGTGAGCTTAATAAAACACCAAATTTTATTTAAGACAAAGAAGTAGCTGTCAAGCATTACACTAAAATAGGAAATAGATGAGCAGCTGGAATTTTCACCCAAGATGAGAAAAGACCCTCTCCAGTAACTTAAATTACTTAATTTCTTCAGCTTGGATGTAGATTGACTGACATCTGTCCCCTTCTCTCTTGGATTTCAGCCCTGCTATTGTTCCATTTTGGCAGCATGGTTTTCTTAACTCAAGGGTGTAAAACTCGATTTCATTGAGGGCTGCATTAGGGTTGTGTTTGACCTTGAGGGGCTGGGGTGGGCATGGTCAGGGTGGGCATAGCTAGCTCAATGTCACTCATGTCGGGAGTGCCTGTGGTGGCCCAAGTGCTCTGCCAGTGAAAATGGCCTTCCGAGCTGCGTTTTGGCTGTGAAGGCCTCTTGTAACCCTTTGCCAGTGAAAATGGAGCTCGCATGCAACCCTCCTAAGCTCCGTTTTCGCTGGCAGAGGCACTGTGGACCAGTCCTTCACTGTTTCCAGGGTGGCCCCAGATCCGGCCCTGGGGCCTTGAGTTTGACACCCCTGTCTTAACTGATCGAGTTTACCTTTTAGTTTGTTTCCTGGTTTTCTTCATAAAGTATTATATTGTTATTATAGTGGTGAGTAGCAGTCTTTAATTAGCCAGATGAGTTTTAGACAATGAGTTACAGTAATTAAATTTGTTGGAGAGTTATGTTAGCCTATGATAATCCAAATCCATTGAATTGTATACAAGTGTAGCAAATTATGATTTAATTGTTTTATTGCTCTGGAACAAAAATTTGATTGTTCTGTTTTTAGGTGACATCTTCATGTTCTGCAGTAGCAGGCATGGTCCTAAGATGGCAGTGGATATTCTGTTTAGCATAAAGGCCATATTTTATCTTTTTATTCTGACATTAATCTTGCAACTTTGATGGAGGGCTTCTGGGACTGAAAATGTATTTATTGACTAGCAGAAGGAGATAGGAGTAGCAACTCTCTTTTGCTTGATAGAGAAATCTTAATAATATAATATGTGATAACTGTTTTTGTTTTTGTCTGTGACTAAGAAGTGAGTCTCCACTCATAACCTGAACTTTTGTATCTTTTACAGACTGGAATAAACCATTCTGTAGCCAATATACCTCAGGATCCAGATAGGCAAAGGTCTTGTATAAAACAATCAAACAGGTAAAACTAGATATTATTTTTAATGTAGCACAAAGTCTGGATAGGATTAGGGACTTTGGAGAATTTAGGACAAAAAAGATTTCCCTGAAATCAGTTTCAATGAATTCTTTGGAATGTCTACACCAGTGGTAGTCAACCTGGTCCCTACCGCCCACTAGTGGGCGTTCCAGATTTCAAGGTGGGCGGTACGGGTTTTGTCCGATACTGAAGCACTTTCCTTTTTCAANAACAATTAATCAGTGGAACAGCTTGCCTCCAAAAGTTGTGAATGCTCCAACACTGGAAGTCTTTAAGAAGATGTTGGATAGCCATTTGTCTGAAATTGTATAGGGTTTCCAGCCTAGGCAGGGGATAGGACTAGAAGACCTCCAAGGTCCCTTCCAATTCTGCTATTGTATTGTATTTTCTTAATTGTCAACAATATCTCCACAGGTTTTGAATGCAGACCAAATAATACAGCCATGGTCCTTCCAATGACATCATTGTGTCACTGTTATTTCCCTTTTAATTAAAAATATGGACCATAGTTTAAAAATGATTGCCTTTCTATTTTCGATAGGCCATGGTTTCAGGATCCAAATTGATCTTCTGTCCCATGTAAGAATAGAAAAATCCTCAACGTGCATAAAAAAATATTTGGAACCAGGATATGTAGGAGACATTTCATCTATAAACAAGATTTATTTTCACATTCAATTTTATTGAGGAAGTAACGAATAGCATTAAAGAAGCCAAAAGTGGAACATTTTGCTAATACACAAAAAAGAAGAAATTGAAAATGTTTGGCCAATGATACTGTAGGTTCTTTTAGTGAATAATTAGTCTTACCGGCTATATTGCTTCTTGAATTATGGTACAGTTATAAAATATAATTGGAAGCATCTTTTAATTTTCTAAATGAGTTGATTATATATCTTCAATTAAAATATTTGAAATGCTTGTACAATTGGATTTGTGCTGTACAAAGGCAGCTTCATTTTTCTATTTAATAAATCCTTTGTTATATAAGGCATCAAACAGTTGTTTCTTTTGTCCTTTCTCCTCCTTCAGATGACCATACCAGAGTGAAGCTCTCTTTCATCACATCAGATAAAGACTCTGATTACATCAATGCAAATTTTATCAAGGTACAAAGAACAAGCATTTGAGATTTTGTTCCCATTAGCACAAGATTTTAATATATGGTTATTTTGTGATTGCATTTATATTTTATTTTTCTTCTAAGCAGTGTAGATTCATGCATTTTATCATTATGACAATCCTGTTACCCTTATTAGGCTAAGATCATGAACATCAGGGCAGAGTAGAGATGTTCTCCTTAATTTCCAAGCAGACATTTTGACTACTAAAGCCATCCTGTAGGCCACAGTAGCTTTTCTGATTTCAAAATGCTAATAATACACAGGGGTCAGTGTTCTCCTTCTAGCTAACTAAGACTAGAATACAAAAGAATTCCATTCAATCAATGACTGTGTCAAGTTACTGCAACCTATGGAACAAACAAACAAAAAACCCTATCTCCCCCACCCCCCCAATACTTCATGCAAAAGAAGAATTAAATAAATTGGTAGACACCTTGCTTGCCAGTCATATTTCCAAGATCTATTGTTTGTATCTTGTTGGATTCTTAGCAAAATAAAGAAATTAAAATCTGAATGGTTGTAATAAAGTGGTATCAGTAAAACCCCACTGCCCCCATTCTTTTGCTTCATTTAAAAGGTTCTTGCTAATGTAAAAATTAGCCTGCTGGAAAATTTGCTTTCCTTAGTAACTTTAATCAAGTTATAATTGCTGCTGTGGCTTGGATAGAGAAGATATGGCCATGTAATCTGAAGTGGAAAGTTTGGGGATAACACAATTTCTGCATCCAAGTTCTAAATTTTAGATTGTATGTATTATTCTGGATTCTGTTTTATAGCACAGCTTTTCCTCATTGGCTATAATGTCTGGTTGATATGTTGCATCAGAATCTTTATCACATACCCATCTGAGGATGATGAAAACTGTAACAGAACTGAAGCCATTACAGTAATGATGATGATCATTATTAAAGTAGTACCACTTGGAAAAATACTTTCACAGATTATTTTTTCATTTAACTCAATTTCCTACGTATGTTAAATGTTCTTTAAAAAGTTAACGTGGCAGGTCAATTTTAAAACATAATAATGTTGTAAAATTCTTTCTAATGCCTTCACATAAACCTATGTTACATTTATTTCCTTTTTAGGGTGTATATGACCCAAGAACCTACATTGCTACCCAGGGTCCACTTCCCACAACTGTTATAGATTTCTGGAGGATGATTTGGGAATATAAGATCTTGGTAAGAGGTAGATCAATGCTATCTGTTAATTGTTTTTTCGTAGATTTTCACAGGTGTAGTTATGCCGGCCTTGTTGTATTTGGGTCTTTTCCAATGTAAGATTGAGATTGTTTTGGTAATCTTACACAGAAGAAGACCCGAATACAACAAGACCAGTGCGCGTGCGCGCGCGCGCGCGCACACACACACACACACACACACACACACACACACACACACACACAGAGTATTTCTTGGATTGTTTACATTCTGCAGTTATTCTTCTTCCAGGCTGTAACATATATTGCCAATATATAATGGATGATTGTCAGCAGTGAAAGGAGGCTGGAATCAACAACCTAAAACATTTTGCAGTAAAATTGAGGAATTAAAATACTTCAGCTCTAAATTCTTCAAAATCTACAAATTTTTTTAAAAAATATTAGTGACTTAGGGAAACTAAGTAAATACATTGATCTTTTTATTTTGTTTTATTTCCAAATATATGTAAAGAAAAATGACTCTTTTATTTATAATATAGCTGCCTACTTATATATCTACTGCCTATTTTCTTCAAAAGATAGTTGAATACAATGGCAGCTTTTGAACTACAGCATTGGAAATAAGGTTTTGTGCTTCTTTTGCTATATATCAAATAGTCTGCTGTTTTCGGCAGCATCTTAAAATGAATTTGTTTGGAACTTTTAAATCAACAGCATGATTGTGTACGTGCCAGTTTTCCAATAGCATTCAGATACTTCTTTTTAATCTCTCCAGATCATTGTCATGGCTTGCATGGAATTTGAAATGGGAAAGGTAGGTATTGCGTCAAAAGGTAACATACCACAACATGGAAAATTTTGGTTCAGTATTGTCTGTACATTTCTGTGCTGGCTAATCTCCCAGACCTTATTCCACATGGCATTTCTTATATTCGGTCCCTGTAATGACTGCAGAGTGTATGTACTGCATTACCGCAACAGACACTTTTTGTGTGTAGATGAAGCTAACCCTGAGTCTTTTACGATCACATTTATTGAATTATCCATCTGAAAACTTTCCCGACGTCTGTTCAGCACAGAGCACAGGTTTTCTTTTAAGAGAATAAAAGAGAAAGCACAATAAAATCTGCCAAGACTACAGTTGTATTGTTGTTAGTTGTAAAGTCGTGTCCGACCCATTGTGACCCCATGGACAATGTTCCTCCAGACCTTCCTGTTCTCTACCATCCTTTGCAGTCCATTTAAGCTCATGCCTACTGCTTTGGTGACTCTATCCAGCCACCTCATTCTCTGTCGTCCCATTCTTCTTTTGCCCTCAATCCTTCCCAGCATTAGGCTTTTCTCCAGTGACTCCTTCCTTCTCATTAGGTGGCCAAAGTATTTAAGTTTCATCTCCAGGATTTGGCCTTCTAAAGAGCAGTCAGGGTTGATCTCCTCTAGGACTGACCAATTTGATCACCTTGCAGTCCAAGGGACTCGCAGGAGTCTTCTCCAGTACTATAGTTCAAAGGCCTCAATTCTTTGGCGCTCAGCCTTTCTTATGGTGCAACTTTCACAGCCATACTACAGCTATAGAGACAACCTTATTCTGCAATAGGTATTCCCAAGGTCTTTT